GGAATGCCTGCTGAAAAAAGCCCTTGCCCAGCCACAAGGCCCAGGTGAGCATAGCTTAGAGTTAAGCACAGCTGAAATAGAAGTTGTACCTTATCTTGAAAGCCTTTTCCTTGACAGCTCCTTATTTAGCATGCTACCCACTGCAGGCCCTTAAGTATTTAACTTTTCTTTTTTTGGTAGATCCAGTCCTCTGCTGTTTTAGCATCTCAGCTTTAGGGTGTGCTGCAGACAAGGATAAAATGAAGAAAGAATGGGTCTAAGGTAGATATTTTATTAAGGTACAGGCCACTCGAGGACAGATATTGAGGCACTTCTGGGAAGGGGATAAGCAACACAAGAGTAATTCTATCTGCCCTTTCCTAAGTATATAGCTACTGCCTTTCCTCTGCCATCTGCAAGAGATCCACTAAAGAGAGGCTGCATCACACCGTTCAGGGTAATTAGACCCTGCAGTTTAGGATTACTTTAATATACTTGAAGATAGAGGGAAAGAAAAACCCTTCCATTTTCTAATTCACACCTATGATACAGCAAGCAGCCTGGCACTTGAATCTGGAAGACCACTGTCATCTGAGCTTACCCTCCCTTGGGTGACTTTCACAGGGCCCATCCCAGCTCTGACCACAGGACTCTAAATTCAGTAGAACTCAAATTCGTAACTGACCCTTTTAGCTAATGGAGTGTTCCCAGATAAAAGAAACATATACAATACATTTTCTAAACACATGGCCAGGGGTGTAGGGGAGAAGAGCATACAAATTCTTGCTGACTTGTCAAATCTCTAAGACCCTAAAATGAGAAGAATATAAAGGAAAGACCAAGCAAACAAAGCACACAGTGTAGCTGATGCTCCGTTAAATGTAGCAACATGCCAAACTCTCAAGGCTTTTGCCCAACCAGGAAAGTGCTTAACAAACCAAAGTTTTCCTTACTGCTGCTGCCATCTTCTCACTGCTGCATGTGGAAGGAGACATTTTCTTTAATGCCCCACTGGGCTCCTTGTGCCAGCAAACTAGGGACTTCTTCCCTTGCTGGCACAGATGTATTCTTACCTGTCCTGTACCTATCTCCCACACTACTACTGAAACAACCATCTACAGAAATGAGCTAAAAGAACACCTAATACCCACGCACCTCCAGTTTGTATGCAAGTTACCCGGAGCATCTAGAAAATCCAACTTTGCTTCAGAGTT